GCTTGGGCTCCATTTCCGTCTGCTGTTTACAGGAGGGCGGCCCCGCACCGGCCACAATTATTTACTGTACCCAAAACTAGCATGCAAGAAAGTGGTGCGACTTCTTTCTGCACCCCCAGGGAAGCCTGGGGCCTTCTTCAGCCCAACCTGCACCCCGGAGCTGCCTGGGGCTGGCCTGCTAGGGGGCCGGGTGCCTCCAGGCACAGCGGCTCCCCGAGGCATCTCTGGGGTCTCTCCGCCTTTCTTTCAAAACTTGGGGGTAGGGGTTAATGGGAGGCACTCAGCCCTGTGTGGGCCCAAGAGCTGGCCCCTGGAGAGAAAGTCCCAAGAGGGAAATGAGAACCCTCACCCGCCACCGTGAGCCCTGCCGGGCACTCACGGGCCACCCGACAATGGCGCCTGAGGAATGTGAAGTGGAGGATGGGAAGCAGTGTTACAGGGCAGGGAGAGGGGGCACCGCGGAACCCCCAAACCTGCCTGCTCTAAATGGGTTCTGCCATCCACCGCATCAAGACAGAACCTGTAAGACTTTAATGGAAAGGAACTTGAATACAGTGAGTCTGCACCACGGAGGACAAAGAATGTAAGGTCTAAATCAAACCCCTGAAGTGACCCGGACCTCGTGGGCAAAAGTCCACCCAAAAGGGATGGCCCAGAGCAAGGCCTGAAAGCCGCCACAAGCCTAAAGCCCCTTCTGGCCGGGACCCATCAAAAAGGGTCAGAAATGTCCAGACAGGTCTGGGAGGAAAAGAGCAAATTCAAAATCAATATCAACACGGCCATAGTCGCCTCCCTACAGGTCTCTCACCCTCGTCGCCCTCAACCAGTCCAGGGCCAGGAAACAAGCCCGGTATCTCCATCACATGCTCCTGCTCCGAGTGGCGTCCTCAGGGCTCCCTCTGGCTCACCATCCTGCTGCCTTCCTCAGATTCCTTCTCTTCTCCTCCCTTCTCCGCTCAGCTCCACCCCCCTTCTGGGAGGGCAGGGAACCTGGAACTTCGCTTTTCCTAGGGACCCCCCTGTTACAGCAGCAGCGGGGTCATTTACCTAAGGGGTTCGGGGGTTAGAGGGGCGCCCCTGCTGAGCCTGCCGTCCTGCAGACTCCTGTCATGACCACCGTGGGCCTCAGCTAGGTCACGCCCGCCGCATGACCCGCACACCCCCAGCCTCCCTCAGCCTCCTACTCCACCAGCACCTTCCTCCCTGGCCGTCCTCCCCGGGCCTGGCACACAGTAAGCCCCGCTGAGTGAACACCTGCATAAAGGCTCCAGGCCACAGCGACGCCACCTGCTTCTACGACCTGCGCGGGGCAGAAGCACTCGGAGGCCAGAGAACCCGTCCAGGGGAGGCCTGGACTCTGCTTCTCAGCACAGGCCATGATGCTCTTCCTTCGCTGGTGCCGAGGGGCAGTGGCCTCTGGCCACACTGTCTGTTCCCTGTGTCCTGCGCGGACGCACCTTTGCACACACCCGCGAGTCTGGCAGCCCGGTGCCAGTGGGGAGCCTTGGGCCTGCTCACCTTTTCCTCTCATTTCCTGTGACGTGGACATCTGCTCCCAGATCCGCTTCTCGGTGGCCACAGAACAGTGCCAAACTGCAGCCCCATTTCTGGATGGGAACGTCCCCCCACTGCGGCGGGCTGCTGGCTGGAGAAGCCACAGGAGGTGGTGAGGGTGCCCTCACAGGGTGCAGAGAGCCTGGTCCAGCGCCCCAGGTCTTAATGGGTGACCGTGGACAGACGTCCTCACATCAACACTCATCTCCGCCTGCTTGGGCGTTAAGCCTTGGAAAGGAAGCCCCTGGCGGGCAGGGAGGCCTGGAGACTGGGGCCCACCGTGTGTGGTGTGACCGGAGGCCCAGACAGGCTGCTGGGCACATGCTGGAAGGAGAAGCCTCCCAGCAGAAAGCGCTCCATCAGGAGGGCCGGCGGTAAGCCTGCTTGTCAGGAAGTTCTGAGCTGAGAGCAGGACTTTGCTTGGCCCCAAGGATGGTTTCAGAAGTCAGAACATGGCTGGAAGGGCCTTGAGCGATCCTGGGGCCTTCCACGAAGCCCCAGGCGGCTGGGAGGCTTCTTTGCTGCTGTGTCATGGGGAGTCAAGTTACCAGTCACCTCACGTAGCGGTATTGAACAGAAACTGGGCCGGACAGGCGAGGTTCAGAATCCCTGGACAGCGTGGGTGACGCTAGTTCTGGGGAGCAGCCAGAGTGGGCCTCTGAAAGTGGAGACTTCAGGGTTCCAAGCTGACAGAGCTTCGCAGGGAGGCCAGTGCCCAGCTCTGCCAGGCCTCCGCTGATGGGGTCATGCCTCAGCTCCGCCCCTGCCCCTGCCCCCTGCAGGCCTTCACTCAGGGACCCCTCAACCTGGGCTGGCTGTTCTGCACCAAGCCTCCGACCCAGAACAGCAAGCCGGGATAGCGCGGGCCTCCGGGCAGGGTGTGTGACCGGCCTGCAGCCAGATGCGAGCTGCTTCCGCACGGCCCGGCTGATGAGCGGCTGAGAGGGGCCTGCTCGGTGCCCGTTGGGGATGTGCCCTGTCACTCCAGTGGCACTTCCCACCTGGCCTGCCAGGTGGGTGGGCGGCTGTGCGCTGCCCTGCTGCCTCTGGAGGGGCACTCAGGGCAGAGGCAAGTCTGGGGGTGCTTCCCTGCAAGCGTGAGGAGCCCGACGGCGGGATGTCGGAGGGCACACGGCACCGCCGAGCGGGAAAGCCGATGTGTGTACATCACCCAGCGCTCCGGGGAGGGCCGGTGGTGAAGAGTGAAGCGGGGCGAGTGGAACAGAGAGGGAAGACGCTGAGTCAGTCCTGAAGCACCTCCTTTGGTGCACTGTCAGCAGCCTCTCCAGGGCTGGGGGGGGGGGGCGCAGCGGCCCTCCCTTGGGGACAGTGTCAGGGAAGCCCTCCAGGCAGGGCAGCGGAGCACAGCACCACAGGTGCCAGCTGTGGCCCTTCCACCATCGAGGACACTTGGCAATGCCCGGGGATGTTTTTGGTTGTCTCACCCAGAGGGGTGCTCCTGGCGTGTATTGGGGAACAGCCAGAGTGGCCTAGCCAGCCCCCGGTGTGTGGGAAGGTGGCCCTCCCATGACAGGACCAGGCTCTGCAGGTGGCGTGATGTGGGATTTGGGAAACGCGTGCACGTCCTCATCTGAGGAGTGGGTCCGTGGCACCTGCGCCCGCCACGCGGCTTTGCGAGGCGCCACCCCCAGGCAGACAGAGAAGCTGTCACCTTTGGGACCGGCTCCTTCTGATCCTTAGTTTGAAACCTGCCTGAGACTGTGGCCTCGAGCAGGGGCTGACGAGAAGTAAAAAGCCCACTTTCTCCGGGCCTCTCTCAAGCCCTCCTTTTTCTTTCAGCCTTTCATGAGGCTCTGCGCGGGCAGAGGGGTTAGCAGAAGTCATCACCAGGTACGCCCAAGGGACCAAGGACCGCCGCCGACAAGGCAGGACCTTTTCCTTCGGGAGTCTGCAGCCCCAGCCCAGCGTCGGACACTTCCTCGGGGAGCTCTCAGCCTCCCCGCGGACCTGTGCTGGCAGCAACCCATCTACAGAAGCTGGACTCACAGTGGCAGCCTAGCGGTGGGGGGACGCTAAGCCGGGCCCCCCGATTGTGAGCAAGCTGGCAAAGGCTCGTCCCTGCTCCTCCCAGCCCCGCCCAAGCCAGTCTCACCTGGCTGTGAGGAGCCAAGGGCACCCCGCGCCCTTGCCCTGACCCTCCAACTGGGAAGGCCACATGTTCCCTTGAGATTTGACAGGGGTGACTGTGTCCCAAGTTCTGCACAAGAGCCAGAAGAGAGGGCAGGCAGGAGGCTCTGGTGAAACAGCAGCCGGTAAGGGTCGAATTTTAGGACTACAGAGCCTCAACGGTCTGGAGCCAGCTGACTTCCTCAGCATTCAGAGCTGGGGGGTGGGGGTGGGGGTGGCATCTTGTCCAAACCTCTGCGGGGGGTGGGGTAGTGGTGGTGGTGAGAAAACAGCCTGGGGGGTGAGCTCATGGTGGCTTCCTCTTCACCATATGGTCTTCCCACCGCCCTTGGTTTCTAGGAAGAAAGTGAGAATAACCCCGTTTTGGCATGTGGAGAAACTGGGGCAGGAAGCAGGCCTGGATCAAGACAGCGGGGACCAGGAACTTCCAGTGTGGCCCCCAGGGCAGGGGCGGGGGTGGGGGGAGCTGCTGGGGCCGGTGGGAGAGGGCCCTGTGGAGCAGGCCCCTGACCTGGGCCCTTCCCCGGCTCCTCCCTCTTTCCCAGAGCTCCTCTCCAGTCTGGCCCCCCACTGCAGTGTCGGCACCTAGGTACCCCACGCCCTGTTTCCCAGCTCTCCCCTCCCTTGTCACCCTCCAGCTAGCATGTGCCACACAGCCAAGCCTTGGTATATGAAGTACTTCCCAGAGTGTTTAATCCTCACAAAAGCTCAGGGAGGTGGGCCAGGGTCCCTGGTGCCCACTCCCCCCACCCCAACACTCCAGGTGACCTGGGAGCCAGGGCCACCCTCCCCAACTTCCCCATCAAAGGCCACTTCCTGTTCACCCAGCCCCAGTGCAGCGCCCCCAGACTCCCTGGCCCTCCCCCAAGTGCTATTGGCACCCCAAAGTTTGGATCAGAAGGCGCTGAGAGGAGGCCCCGTGACCCCCTGGAGGTTGCAGCCTTCAGCTCTGCCCCTCTGGCACCGGCCTGCTCTGCCCATTCATAATGCCCCAGTCTCCTGCACAGAGCCAGTGGGCGGTTCCCAGAGGGTCGCCCCACAGCCACCGTGGCAGGTAGGACAGGCCCGTCTGGGGAGTTTGCAGGTTGGAAGCACAGCTTGGCTTCTGGCAGGAGGCGGAGGCCCGTCTTTGCTGAAATGTCCCAGGAGAAGCTGCTGGAGGGTCCCCAGGGTCATCTGGGGGCTGGGGAGAGGGAGACCACTCCTGTCCCCAGGCTCCTTCCCTGAACCTAAGCCCTGTCCTGGACTGCGAGTCAAAGCATACTGATTTGGGGAGGCAGGGCTCCCAGGAAGAGGCACTAGAAGAACCCCAGGCAGGCTGGCAGCTGGGCCCCTCGGCCAACGTTGGCCAACGCCGTCTCTGGGGGAGGGACCCGAGAACAGGGGCTTTCACAGTGGCGGGATCAAGATCTGCCTGGTGTGGGGGAGGTTTGGCTAGAGGGCTCCCCTCTAGCCAAAGTCCAGTGGGAGGCCGCAAGGGGTGGCCAGGACGCAGGCACCCCAGGCCATGGAGGTCTTGCTGCACCTTGTGCCTTGGGCTCAGAGGCTAAAGCCAGATGGACCCGCTTCCCTGGCTCAGAGACGCGTCCTCTTCCTCTTTACTCACCCAGACCTCCTGGGGGACAGAAGTGCCAGGAGGCCCAGGCAAGGAGCAGCCAGGGAGCTGGGGCTGCCCGGGCGACCCCTCCATCAATGCATAGACATGGCTTCACCCCAGCTGGGGACCTGCAGGGCGAGGCTGGCCCAGTGCTGGGAGGTGGGAGGGTCAGGCTTCCACTTCATGTAAACAGGAGGCGCACCCCACCCACCCGCTGCGGCCTGGGGGTGCTGGCTGTCCGGCCCCCGGGGCGGACCCTCATCTGGGTCCAGGGTCCCCGAGGCCAGGACGGAGGCTGCTGGGTAGGAGGCCAGGAGGGGCCTGATGTGCAAACTGGCGCTGGCGTTGACCCGTGTTCCTACGGGCCTGTGGTGCCCACCGCAGGCCTGGGCTCAGGAAACCACGCACTTGCTGGTCTTGGCAGGACTGGGCATTGTTTTACCTGCAGAGACAAAGGACACGGGTCAGAGAGGAGGAGCTGGAGGGCTCAGTGGACTCGCCTCCTGGGGCTGCCCGCACCTCACAAGTGGGGCTCACTGCCTCCCGCCCCAGCTGCTGCTCTGGAAACCAGGTCAAGAAGCCCAGGAGACCAGGGGGAGAGATGCTTCCTGTCTCGCGGCCTCAGCCAGATGACCCCTGGGCAGGACGCCAGGGACCTGCCATCTCCTGACCTCCGTGGGGTGGGGAGGAGTATCGGGACCCTAAATCAGCAGCTATCAACGATGGTTTAAAGTCTTCCCGAGGAGGATCACCAGCAGCTGAGAGACTGCACCCCCACTCACAGGGCACCCCTCCGGGTGCTTTCGGAGCTGGTCCCCAGAGCGCACCCCGCTTACAGTGGGGACAGTGGGGCCACCAGCAGCAGGAGCCTGTCTTCCAGATCCATTCTTGGCTCCCTCTGCCGCGCGGGCCTCCTAAGTTAGGGAGGAAAAACTTGCACCTCGAGAAGGACTCTGGCGGCAGCAGCAGGCAGACCAAGAGTCAGGCACTGTGGGGGGCCCTGGGCTTGGGGGGTGGTGAAGATAAAAGATGGGGGAACACACTTTGGGAGGGGAGAAGGGGGAAGAGAAAGCCAATCTACCCCAGCCCGGAGAACCTTCTCTTCTTCCCAGGCCCCTTCTGTCATGTCCACTTCCCACCCCAGGCGGAGCCAGACAGGCCGTCCCAGGTGGAAGCTGCTCACACCACCACCCCACACGGCTGCCGCTGCGGTCTGAGGGGGGCAGCTGACTCCTCTCCTGCCCAGCGGCAAGCAGGACGCAGTACAGGCCCGAGGCCGGCCCCCTCACCACTGCCCCTGGCCCGGCACCGCCAGCTGGGCTCCCTCTCGGGGACCTTCTACAGGTCAGCAGCGCCTGATGGGAGGCTGCACCGTGCTACAGTGGAGAGAGACTGCCACCCTCCCCACGGGCTCGGGTCCCCCGAGGCCGGTGCCACCCGCTAGAACGAGCACACCGTGGCCACTGTCCCCTCCCCACCACCTGGACGCAGCCAGCAGGCGCTGGGCCTGCTCAGGGCCCTGTGCCCCTCCCCAGGGCCAGGAGGCTCGTGGGGGCAAGGCAGACTTCAAGGAGGCGGCGCTGACATGCGGCTGCAAGTCACGGCGGGGCGTGGGAGGACCCATAGGGGCACCGGGCCCCCACGCGGGTCTGTGGGGGGCATGACGAGGGCCAGGGCGCTGCTCCTGTTGGCGTCCGGGCGCCGCCGCAGTCCCTTTCCTGAAGTGCCTCAGGACACCCGGATGCCCCTCGCTCCGGCCTCTGCCGGTCGGCCTTGCCCTGCCAACGCCTTCAGAACAGCACTTGCTCCATGGGGGCCGGGCTCCTTCTGCTGGCTGCTGAATCAGGAACTTGGAGCAGTGCCCGGCAGGGCAGACACTGCCTGGATGTTGGTTGAGCGGAGGATAGACCAGGCAGAGCCAGCCCCAAAAGGCCTCACCCCACACGTGGGTGCCGGAGCCGCGGCAGAGTCGAAAGGCAGCAGCCGCACCCTCGCTCACCTAGACGGTGACGTGAGCCCCGCGGGCCCCAGCGAGAGCAGCAGGCAGGGACTGTGTGCCCACCATGGCGTGAGGATGCCCCCCCTTCTCCAGAGCCCCTCAGGGGTGCTTACTGCGGGTTCTGCACCCGGCTGGGCTTTCACCCACCAAGCTGTGGCTTCTAAGCCAGCTGGGCCTGACCATGGTCGTCGGGCGATATGAATCTCGAAACCCCACCTTGGCGAGACGGCTCTTCAGCAGACTCATCCTGGAAGGGGACCCACGGAGCGCAGAACCCCAGAAGCACTCCTCAACCTGAGACCTCCTGCCCCAGGGTGGCAAGGGAGCCCGAGGGCCCAAATCCTGGTGCCAGAGGCCACAGTATGGTGCTGGCCAGGTGCTCCCCGACCTGTCGATCAGGAGGGAAAACCAACCCTCACCGTAGGCACCTCAGAGAACTCTGGGGAGAAAGGCACCTGCCTGGGGCCCTGGAAGGTAGACTCAGGGGTGCCCTGGGGTGCCATTGCCCACTCTTCTCTTCCTCTCCTGGCAGAACCGGGCATCAGGCCTTGGCCCTGCCACATGGTGTTTGAAGATGTGGGGAAATGGCGCCCCTCCCTCTGGAGACAGCCTGGGGGGCCACAGCACAAACCACGTGACCTCACACAAGGGCTCCCCGGCCTGCACCTCTGGGGTCTAGTCTAAGAAGCTGTGTCTTCAGGCTAGGAGGCCCCCAAGCTGAACGTGGCCCCCCCAGAAAGTGCCAAGGAGGGGGGCCGCGGGGGGAGCGCCTTCATCCCACTCTTTAACAAGCTCAAGAGTGTAGGCTGTTTCCCAGGGGTCTCCCGGGGGCCAGAGGGCCCAGCTGGAGGTCCCCTGGGGAGGGACGCAGGAGGCAGGCTGGGGAAAGGTGCTGAGCCCACCGAGCTCGGACGCAGGAGGCAGGCTGGGGAAAGGTGCTGAGCCCACCGAACTCGGAAGAGTAAGTGGAAGGTGCTGGATTCGGCCACTAGAGGGGGCTGTGGGCCTGCAGACGCCAGCTGAACCCTCCCGATCCCCAGACCTGAAGGTTCTCCCAAGGGCCAGACTCAGGCTTGCAAAAATTTGCATGCTGTTTGACAACTATATACTTCTTATCAAGCAATTTTCCAGGCTGTCAGCTCTTTCTGTTTCTCTCTTGCTCACCCACCCTGTCATCAGGCGGGCTCTGCCTTGACAGGAGGGCAGCAGAGACAGAAGGACAGAAGCCAAATCAGCTCCAGGGCCCAGAAACCTCCTCCTGGTCCTCTCCTCAACCAGGACGCAGCCGAGGTGGAAGGGTGTGGGGGGCGTGGGCAGCAGTGACCTGGGGCCCAGCGCGGCTGGTGGAAAGTTGTTCTGGGGTTCGTTGTAGGAAAAAGGGTCTCTCTGGGCCCTCCCTGGTGGCACAACGGGTTAAAGTGCAGCACTGAGAAGCTGGCCCCGCTGCTTCCGCACGAGTTTGATCCCCGGCCAGGGAGTGACCCAGAGGGCGCAGCAGACCTCTCCCGACCCACCCGCTGCTCCCTCAGCAGGGTACGCTGTCAGTCTGCCTGTTCTGCTCCCCACTCTGTCTCTGGTGAATCCTCTCACCCTCCCCCCCAGCCCCATACCTCTGGCCTGTACCCCAGCTCTGTCTGTTCTGCAGTCCCAAGAGGCAGCCCAGGGTCCTGTGCTGTAGACAGAAGCCTGAAGCTTAGGCTCCGTGCTCCGGGGAAGACACTGGCCAGCTCAGCAGCTCCCAGTGCTGGGGAGGCCACACCCAGGGCCTGTGGCAGGACGAGGCCTGCATCAGGAAGGGGAGAGGAAGGGACCCGGCTTCCAGGCCCTCCGGCACTGGCTGCCCCCAGGGGGCTGTCTGGCTCTGTTGATGGGTGGGGAGGGCCATCCGGGCACGCTTGGGCCCCGCTGACTGGGCCAGCTCACCGGCTCTGGTGTCAGGCGCAGTCTGCCTGGTGGCTCCCCAGAGCTGTGGCCGGCCTGGTGTCAGTCCGAGCCAACCGTGCAGGGACCCAACTCCGGGAGACCCAACACCGATGGACAGCAGGAGGGGACGACACAATGGCCTCTCGTTTCTATAGAAACAGCACCTCAGGGTGAGGGGCTGAAGGAAGGGGGAGCTGCTACTTCTCCAGTAGGGACTTGGGAAACAGCCCCTTGTGGCGGGGCTCGGCCCCCCTCCTCTGACAGGTGTTCACCATGGCAACCCTTCCTCCAGACAAGAGGCACCGAGCAGCACAGCATCTGGTCTCAGGGAACTGGGGGGCTGGGGAGGGGGGTGGCCGGGCCCAGCCTTCCCCCCAGGGTGCGGCCTGGCCCAGGTTTCGGTCCTGGCCCACCACCGCTTTCTGTGCCTGGCCCACATCCTCTGGCTTACACCTGCACCCTCCGTGGAGGTTCTGGGAGCCAGGGGGGAGCGGAAACTCATGGTGGGGGCCTGGCACGCAGCAAGCAAATTCCCAGAAGCGCCCGGCTGTGCTGAAGGAGAGAATGAGTGGGCTGCCTGCAGTGGGGTGGGGACAGCAATGGCAGAGGGGTGGGACACGGCCACGGTCCTGGCATGGGTGCTCTGGTCAGGTCACAGCAGGGTCCCGGAGGGCAGGAGTCCTGGGAGCCCGGGGAGGCCCAGAGGGACCTCAGGCCCTACCGTCACCACCGCCCAGCTGTCCAGGAAGCTGGCCCTGTGGTCACGAAACCCCACAGCCACAGAGGGAGAACCCCCAGGGGCGCGTCCCTAGACGGTCCCTAGATCCCACTCACCACCGAGCTGCTGGGAGTAGAAAAGGCCTGGTGGTGGCCCTGATGTCACCACCAGGCTCCCGAAAGGCCACACAGGGTGCTGTTCCAGAGAGGAAAGCTCAGGACCTCCAGGGGCTTCCAGAGAACCAGCCGCCCCAGGAATAGCTACCCTGGGACAGCTACAGGGAGGAGCCAGGCCCTTCACCACAGAGACCAAGGTGCTTGGGCGGGCTTGTGCGACCAGGTCAGCTCCTGATGCCAGGCGCTGGCCGGGAAGCAGCTTTGCCAGCACGAGCCCCAGACCCTCAGCAGGGCTGGCCTGAGTCCTGCCTGCCACGGCCGCCCTGACCTCTGCGGCGCCATGCTCCAGGGGGAAACGTCAGCGCTCGGCAGAGCCCGGAGTACCTGGGGCCTAGCTGAAAGCCCCCTAGTGGTAGGAGAAATAGCCCAGCACGGTTCCAGCACTTTCTACGCCCAGAGAGGCGTCCGCGGGGCAAGGCCGGGGCTGTTCTCCCCTTGGAGAGCCGCGTGGGGTCTGGCTCCAGGCCATCGGGCGGTAGCGCAGAAGGGGTGGCCGCGGGGCTGAGGCCTGCTCCTTGGGGGGCCGGAGGCCTCACCTGGGAAGTCGGCGCAGGAGCCCTGGTTGGGCCTCCTCGCCGTGGGCAGCTGCCTGTCCGCAGTCTCTGTGGGCACGGGGCTGGCCCTGCCGTTGGGCTCCGGGGGCTTCTTGCGTCTGCTGGAAAACCACCTATTCTTGCCCTCCTTGGCCTCCTCCTTGGCAGCTGGTGCCTTGCCGTTTTGGGCAAGTGGCTCACTGGGTTTGCACTTTGGGTCCGCGTGCCGGCCGTCGGTCAGGTCCAGAGGATCCACCGGAGGCAGGAACTGCTCCAGCGTGACCAGGTCATTCAGGAAGCTCTCCAGGCGCCTCGCGGACTCGCCGCCTCCGCTGTCCTCCTCCTGGCCCTGCGGCTCGCCCCTGGCCTCCTTCTGCTGCAGGGCGGCCCAGCGCATCATCTCCCCGGGGGGCTGGCGGCTGGCGGCCACCAAGGCGTACTTGGGGTTGATGAGCTTGCGAGCCACGGTGGAGGAGCGGCCGAGGCCCGGCCGGCCAGCACCTCCCAGGCCCAGCTGCTGGCACAAGTCCACCTCCTCGGAGATGGCGTACAGCTCCCGGAACTCCATGTCGAAGGGCTCCGCGTACTGCCCGGTCAGGAGGAACAGCAGGTTCCTGTCCAAGTGGGAGGAGCTCCAGGTGAACCTGGGGACAGGACGGCGAGACACATGTGCCCTGCGGCCTCGGCCCTCCCCTGCCCTCAGGCCCCCGGCGGGCCCGCCCCAGCACCCCTACGCTGACCCCGCCTGATCTGCCACGGAGGAGGCACCCCCCGCTGTGTGAGTGTGGGGCGCCCTCCCCACGGACCCAGATCCCTCTCCTCTTCCCTCTGGTTTGGCTCCGAGTGCAGAGAGCAGGCAGCGATACAGCAAGGGCGCGGGAAGGCAGACCTGGCCTCACACCGCGCCTGCACCCACGCGCACCCTGGAAAACCGGCTCTTAGGGGTGACACGGCCTCGTGCCTGCACCCACACAGCCAGCGAGCGCTCTGTGCCCCCTGCTGCTGAGGCCCCATCTGCACTGGCTCCTCTCCGGCCCGGCCCGGGAGCCCTCAGTGCCTGCAAGCGCCCCGCCAGAACCTGGGGGGTGGGGGGGGCCAGGGCCACTCCCGCTGTCTTGTGGGCCTCGGGCTCCCGTCCTCACTAGGTTTGCACTTATGTTGGGCAGAGGCTGTGCAGAGGTGTCTGTCCTGTTCCTGGGGGTTCACTTCTGAGTCGGCCTCCTGTTTCCCAGCTCTGCTTCTTTCTGCCTCCTGCCAGTGCCCCCTACCCGCCAGCTTCCAGTGGACCTGGCCGCGCTGGAGGGTGAGAGGCAGGCAGGATTAGTGCCCAGTGAGTCGGCCCTCTGTCTCCTCTTTCCGGAGTCATCTGATGGCCAGAGACTTGCAGGGCGGGGGCTGGCCCGGAGGCCCCCCTTTGCACTTCAGCTCAGGCTGTGGGGGCGCTCAGGCTCCAGTCCAGCGCCTCCCCGAGCATGAACATTTATCTCCACGAACACAGGCCTCACGGGCCCTTCTTGCACCTGCCCCAACTCACCTGTAAGATCCAGTGGCTACTTTTTCACCATCTACCATCAAGAACTTGGATGACAGGGTCCCCTTCACCTTCCCCATGGGCATGTAGAAGCCAACACCCGTCACCGAGCGGACACGGATGTTCTGCCGGGAGGAGGAGAAAGACACTGTCACCCGGCGGGGGCCGGCGAGGCCCCGAGCAAGTCCGCTTGGCCAGGGGAGGAGCCTGCTGCGGCTGACGGCTGGCCAGCCTGCCCTCCCCTGCTTCAGGGGGCCGGAAAGGCACCCGCAGGAAGCAGTCAGCAGGTGGCCCCCACCTGCCTGCAGCTCCCCGAGAACGCCAGCCCGGCAGGCCGAGCCTCCCGGGGCCAGGCCAAGCTGCCCTCTGCGCCCCGGCAGCCGCGGGGTACTGTTTAAGTGGGGCATGTAACTCAGGGTTGCATGCAAGGCAAGGCTCTGGCGGAGGAGGCGGGTGAGCGCTGGCAGTTCTCCTGGGGCAGGCGCGGCTTACCCGGACCCGGAAGTCGGCGAGCTCCAGGCCCTGACACATGTCCAGGAAGCACTTCACGCCGGCCTCGTCCAGGATGATGTACACGGGGACCCGGCGCTTAAAGGCCGCGTCCACAATGTCTTGGAAGATCTCCCCATCGGTGAAGACGTCCATGACCACAGCGATGACCTGGATAGGGAGGGACGTGGTGACTTCCCAGGTACGGACCCTGGCTCGAGAGGACGAGTTTGCCCTGGAGTGGCGCTGGCCGAGGTCAGAAGCCTCGACCGCTGGCCCCCACAGCACGCCTGCAGGTTCTCCAGGTCCCCTCCCGTGAGCACAGCTGAGCCCTGCAAGGGGCGCTCTGCTCTGGGAACGCGCCCTGTGGGTCACCCGGCGGAACGCGAGCTCAGCTAGCTTCACAGTGCTGTGCGCCACCAGGGAGGGCCCAGGCATTTAGTTTTTAAGATATTCTCACAACTTAGGAAATAGCAAAATGTCAAAAAGAATCTGAGTGTTCATACGTTGATGAATTTAAAAATAAAATGACATGGGTCAGTCATTAAAAGTGAATTAGATGGATAGCACACACAACACTATCCAGCTGTTGCCAGCCACTGAAGCACGAATTTGATCCCTGGCCAGGGAGTGACCCAGGCGCGGCAGACCTCTCCTGACCCCTACTGCTCCCCTCAGCAGTGGCCTTCCTCTATCTGCCTGCTCTGTTCCCCACTCTCTGGGGAAGCCTCTCACTGCCCCTGCCCCTCTGGCTTGTATCCCATTTCTGCACGCATAAATAAATAAAGATCTAAAAAAAAAAAGTAAGAAATTATTTCTAAAATATATATATATTTGATAGCAACACATTCTTATTTGGGATTAAAATTCTCAAAAATCTAGGACTAGTAGGGACCTTTAACTTGATAAAAGCTGTGTACTAGAAATTCATGGAGCTTTTGTGGCCCTTTAAGCCTGAGCAGGTCAAGAGCACCTCACCACTGTCACTCAGCAAGGTGTGGCAGGTGCTGATCACGTGATAAGGAAAAATGCGCAGAAGATTAGAAGACACAAAACCACTCACGGGTAGGGATGATAGGAAACCCAGTAAAATACAGAGAAAGACTACCAGAATAGAGGAATTCCGCAAGGTTGCCAGATACAAGGAAGACACTCCCTGGTAACATTCTTCTATTATCGCAATAGTCATGAGTAAAAAGGGAAAAAAGGATCCATTTAAAACTGCAACTTAAGCACACAGTGTTTACAGAGGAAATTTGAAAACTCAAAGGACATTTGAAAATGTGGAATAAGTGAAGAGACAAATCATGATCCTAGATAATAGGATTTAATATTTTAAAAATCCAATTCTCCCTACACTAGATCTGATGCAATGCCAATGAAAATGTGGCAAAATTTTTTGAGAAGTTCAAATACTTCTAAGAATAAAGATCCATAATAGCTAAGTTGATTTGGAAAGTCAAAGCTACCAGGGGACATGCTGGTCTCAGCAGACAGTGGGACCCAGGACAGGCACAGTCCCTGGGGTGTTCAGGGGGAGGAGCCAGCAGTAAGGTAGGGGAGTGGATGGGGGGGGGGGAGGGTTGCATCTCTGCACATGCGCACACACTTTCTGATAGAGACAGTCACCTGGGTGGAAAAAGGAAACTGTTCAGGATCAGTAGGTGGGAAAGTGCCTTCTGTCTAGAGAAAAAGACGATCCCTGGGCCTCACAGCACACACTGCAGGCAGGCTAACTTCTTAAATGCAAAAGATAAAATTAAAAATGGCTGAGATGTGGGGAAATGTCTTCATGACCCAGGTAAGCAGGGATTTCTTAAGATTCTAAAACCACAAATCAAAGGGGAAAAAAAGGTTTGACAAGTTAGGGGCTATTTCTGTTCAAAGAAAGATGCCACTGATCAAGGCAACGGGCAGGTGTGGACATGGCGTCTGCATGGAGACCAGTGAGGAATACACCAGGGACGCCTGCCGGTGGGCAAGAGGCAGGTGGACAATGAATGGGAAAAACAGGAGAAGGACACGGGGAGGCCACAGACAGTGGGCAGAGCTGGACGACCAACAGCACATCAACAGAGACGCGATTCATCAGTCATCTGAGAAATTCACGTAAAAGCAAAAAGACAGAGATCTCACATGGCAGCAGTAAGGTGAACTAGCAATTACAGAGCTGGACCATCTGAAATGTTGGGATGTGAGGCGGGGGAGCCCCGTCGCCGGCTGGTGGGAGGGGACACTGGCCGCAGACCCTGGGTTTGTATTTCTCCTGGCCACGGCGGGGCCCTGGGGGGTCTCTGACAGGTGTGTCAGGGGCTGGAGCGCAGACATTCGCCACGGGCAGTGGCCAGGAGATGGCAACAGGTCAGACACGTGTCCACGGAGAGCCTGCAGCAGACAACCGCCAAGGCCCCGTGCGGGAAGGTGAGACTCGAATGCGAGAGAAGGAGCTCTGTGGTGGCTCATACGCCTCACGCAAATTAAAACGCGACAGGAAAGGCCACTACGTGTTATTCGAGGGCGACGGACATGTCACAGGACACACGCTGAGTAGAGTGGTGGCTGCTGGGGACAGAGGCAGGGAGGGAGAAACCAAGAGGGGCGTCCCTGGGCTGGTGAGGGCGGCGTACTGCAGACAGCCCCCGCCGGCCACCAGCCCTGGGCCCCGCCGCCGGCCCGGGCAGGTCCAGCAGGGCCAGAGCAAGCTCAGGGCGGGTGCAACTTGGCACTCGGGGCCCCCTGCCACCAGAACCCCGGCTTCGCACCTCTGCAAGGCGCTTGCAGTCTCATCTCCCGCACCCGCCTGAGGCCAGGGCCCACTGCTTGCTCACTTCCAAGCTCTCTGCCATGCCTGGCTGCAAGGCGCTCTCAGTCTGTCGCGGGGGACGGCTGGCTGGCTCACAGGAGGGCGTCTGGATTCACACGCTGGCTTTGGTTCGTGATTGAAAAAGCAAGCAGGGTGCCAGCAGCCCTGGCCTGGAGCTGGAAGGCTGTGAAGTGAGAGGATGGCAAGCTGGGGGAGAGCCCGTCCCCACGCCCGGCTACAGCGGGGGGCTGCGAGCTCCGCCCCTGAGAGCCGGCCAGCCACGTCGCCACCAATTAAAGGACCAAATATCTGCAGCCAGAAAGAAAAAAAATCAATTGCCGACTGACTCCTGCAACGGTGGCCGGGGGGAGAAGTGATAATTACCCTCCTTGGTCTCAGGGCACCGCTTGACATTCAGCCCTGCAGCCTGAGGCCCAGGGAAAGCAGCCTGCTCCCCACTCCCGGCTCAGCAGCTCACGCGCCCGAGACTGCAGATCAGCCTGCTCCAGACACCTGGGTAAACGGGCCCATCAGGCTTTTAGAGAGGTGTCGCGGGAGGATGTGAGACCGGGGAGACAGATTCTGTTCTCGGGAGAGGAGTCACCTCCTCCGGGCTGGCTTCCCCTTCCCAGGGCGCCTGAGCCGGCTCCCCGGGGTGTGTGGCGCCTGGGAGAGAGGTTAATTCGAGGTGGCGGCAGCTTTGGGGACCGGTGGTGGGCGGCAGAGCCCTGACGGTGGGCGGCTCCTCCTCGGGGGAGTGGTCAGCGCATCGCGTGCCGCTTGATCTCCCTCCATGCAGGCGGGTTAGAGCCTCGACTCCCCTCTGTCTGTCATTCAACGTTAATTAAACTGCTAGTGTTTCAGATCCGCCTGCTGGACTCCTTGATTACTATTAGATAACACAATTGAGACAGCAGCTACTTCCCAGTGCTCCATGGCAGCCCTGCCGCGCCCGCCAGGGCCCGGTGCCTGGCGCGTTGGGGGGCCGGGCAGGAAGGCCGCCGCCCCGGTGGCCACCACGCTGGGGGGCTGCGCTGATCCGCCTGCCCCACAGGCACTTCCAAAGTCAGCATCCTCCCAGTCTCCCTGGCCTTCTCCCCGGGCCAAGTCCATCTGGTCACTCTGTCCGCAGGTCCTGCCGGCTCCTTCTTTGGGGACACACCTTCATGTCCTCACGGCACAGTCGTCCTACCTCGGGCCCCCTCGTTTCTTCTGGGACAGCTTCTCACTAGGCTTTCTTGCTCCAACTCTGCAGAGCTACCGCCACCCCCTCCCCACTGCCCCCCCAACAACAGCTGGTGAACAAGTGGATCCCACAGCCCCTAAGGGAGGCCGGAGCCCCTTAGCTTGGGCTTGAAGGACCTCCTCGGCCCCTCCAGCTTCACCCTGGGCCACCTTACCTGCAGGAGCACCTGCAGCTACCCTAACATGGGGGTTCCCTGCCGTGGCCATGCTGGCCTTGACGGGGGCGGGGTTTGGGGTGGGGGCGCTGTCCTGTGAGTTGGACACTTAGCATCACACTGAGTGGTGACAACCAGACAAGGTAAGTGTCACCTGGGGCAACACAGCCACACCCCTCTTGCAGCCTGGCCAAATGACTGCGCTCGGGGACTTTCTCCCTTTCTACGCCTCTTTCAAGACTCTGCCAAGAATTTCCCAAAAATGTCCCCACCCAGCAGTGCTCACCACCTGCTTCCTGCCCGTGTTGCATTCCAGGCAGATGACACCTTATTGTGACATCTCTGGGCCGCGAGGCCCCTCGCTGACCTTGGGCTCCTGGCGGCCTCTGCTTCTCTGAGAATGCCCACCTCAGAGCACGCTGCAGGCCAGCTCTCCGTGCTGGGAAGGAGGGTCTACATGGGGCTGCAGGCGTTGGGTCTATGGCTGTGTTTGGGGGACCCGGATGTAGTTTTGTGTTTATCGCCGTCATCGCGCTCCTGGTAAGGCTGGGGTGGAGGGAAGGAAGAGCACTGAGCCAGAGTCCTGGTGGGGCAGACCTTAAGTCCTCCTTCCTCGTGCAGAGGCCGGAGAAGGACGCCGGCTGCGGCCTCTGCTTGCTGTACACAGCCCGGTCCTGAAGGAGCAGCCTGCCGTGACGGAGGGCGGCGGACAGACGTGCACAGGCCGTGGGCCCGGCGGCAGGGCACCAGCACACACAGCGAGCACTTCTGCGCGAGTTACAGAAGGGCCCTGCCAGCACTAGTCAGGAAGTGGGGCAGCGGGCAGGGCAGCCCACAGAGCCCGCCTGCGCGGCGTGTGGGGCACAGCCCGCTCTGCCACACTCGGCTGCTGCCAGGGCTGAGGGACGCTCCAGGTGCAGAATCTCAAAGCTGGGAAGCAACAGCAGCCAGCCTTCAGCAAT